TCCTGGAGAACCCTGATTGATACAATCAAAGAAGTATTTTAATATGAAAAGCACAAAAATTTACTAATAAATTGCACAGAAACAATCTTATACCTACAGTTCTTCAAATGAATCATTATTAGCATCCTATCAGCTTTGTTATTCTCTTTAAGTAGCTCACATCCATTGTTCTTTAGACTTTTTTCCAGGATGTATTCACCTTCTTATTTGTCCTTGAGATCTTGGGTGAAGGAAAGTATATAAATATTTCACCTCTGCAATTCCAGTTTTCCACTCTTCAGAAGGTATCTACTGAATCATAGGTCAAAGATACAGCCACTGTCTGGTACAGAAGTCATAAGAACATTAATAACTCCTAATGGATTTATGAGTCAGACTTATTGAACAAAAAAATTACATTCAGGAAAAGGGAAATGCGAAAGAGAAGCATGAATGAGAGTGAGAGAAACGGCACTTGCTCAGGGCAGGAGAAGCCTATGCTCAGCACTTCCGGGGGAGGGTAAGAAAGGCCATGCTGGATGTAGGCATTTCCAGCCATGGCCCCTCTACACACACACACACACTGTGGCTCTAACGATTATTTTTTTTTAATTTTTTTTAAGGATTTTATTTATCTATTTGACAAAAAGAGACACAGTGAGAGAAGGAACACAAGCAGGGGGAGTGGGAGAGGGAGAAGAAGGCTTCCTGCCGAGCAAGGAGCTCGATGTGGGGCTCAATCCCAGGACCCTGGGATCATGACCTGAGCCAAAGGCAGACGCTTAACGACTAAGCCACCCATGCACCCCTATTATTATTATTCTTTTAATGACAAGTGATTTCGTGGGAGAAGTCTTGGTCTGATGAGATGCCACCGCAAAGTAACAAAACCCCAGAAGCCCATGGAAATACACAATGATGGATAACACTATGTAACATTGCCAAGTTACCTTCATATCTCAATTACTTGCGGGGATAGGAGACAGACAGAATATGGGTAACAGAAAGCCAAGAGTAATCCAAAAATCTAATTTTCTCAAATGGTTCAAAGTCTTCCCACAAGAGCCTTTACGAAAAGGATTGACAGGTGTTGCATCTGCAATGAAGAGAGCCACAGAAGGTGCTTGAGAAGACCAAGTAGTGCCTCGTCTCCTGGGAGAAGAACACTGGGGAATGTGCTGGATGCCCAGCTCAGCCAGGCACCAGAGGTTTCCCAGGCTGTCCTCAAGAGGCTGATCCATAGATGAGAATGATGATTTCTTAATTCACATCAAAAGAACTCTTTACTGGGGCTCCTGGCTGGTCCAGTCCATAGAGCGTGCAACTCAATCTCAGGGTTGTGGATTCGAGCCCCATGTTGGGTGTAGACATTACTTTAAAATAAAATCTTAAAAAAAAAAAAAGAACTCTTTATTCACCATGAGACTTATCTCTTCTAGTCAGCACATTCTCCCCTCTTAGAAAATTCTAACATGGAAAGTCAAATTATAAACAAGAGACTGATGAGCATTCAGTGAGGAACAAGAAAAGATGGTGGGATGCTTTTATGGAGAGTGACATCAAGTCATAGGGATACAGATAAACCTTTCAAAGAGATGAAAGCATGTCTGCTGCTCAGGACATCCTGTTCTGCAGATGGTGAAGTTCCCACACCAGAAACGTCCTCTTCTCCCACTCTTGTTCTCTGGGCCCATGTTGATAATCTGCCCCTAGTTCTAAGTGCTTCTCAAACTCTCCAAACACTCATTTACAGATTATTGTATAGGATGGATGCCATGGGCTGAATTATGCCCCCCCAAATTCATATGATGAAGTCCTAACCCCCAGCACCTCAGAGTATGACTGTATTTGGAGATGGTGTCTTTAAAGAGTAACTAAGTTAAAATGAGATTATTTCAAATGAGATTCTAATTTTATGTGACTGGTGTTCTCATTTAAAAGCAGAAATTTGGGGGCGCCTGGGTGGCTCAGTCGGTTAAGTGTTTGCCTTCGGCTCAGGTCATGATCCCAGGGTCCTGGGATTGAGACAGCTACGAGCTCAGCAGGGAGTCTACTTCTCCCTCTGTCCCTTCCCCACCCCCCATGCGCACGCTCTCTCTCTTTTCTCTATCAAATAAATAAATAAAACCTTTAAAAAAATAAATAAAAGCAGAAATTTGGACACAGATACAGAGGGAGACCATGCAAAGACACAAGGAAAAGAGGGCCATCTGTAAGCCAAGGAGAGAGCCTACAACAGCTTCCTGCATTCCTCAGAAGGAACCAACCTTGAGGACACCTCTATTTCAGAATTCTGGCCTCCAGAACTGGGGAGAAATTTAATCTCTGTTGTTTAAACCACGCGCTCTGAGTAGTTTGATATGGCAGCCCCAGCAAACTAATACATGGGGTACATCAGAGTTACATGTGGATTTTTCACTCTCTGAGGATAGGGCTTTTCACAATCTTAAGAGAGGCTTTTCTTCCCCTACATACCCCTGCCATTTTAAACACTAAAAATGACTGCCTGCACCCCAGCTAATGAGCAGAGTTATGCCTATTGCCAGAGACTAAAGGAGGGAAGTTATTTTAAGAGGCGGAGCAGAGATCTTTGTGTTGCCCAGATCACATAATCAGCTCAGAGTAATTGATGAGTACAGACATAAGTCCTGAGTACATATTCATTCACACTATTAAATATTCATGAAACAACTGTCTCCAATTGGAGCCTCAATATTCCCCTGCCCTGTTGTTCTCAACCCCTGCAATTCTCAACCCCTCCCCCAAAATCATTCCACCTCAAAAGAAGCTTCTTCTAGTTTTTTAATTGCCAAACCCAGTGGATAGTTTTCTACTACTGTTTTTCTGAACCTCTTTTCATTTGATTCCTTCCTCTCTGTTGAAACCCTCCACTATCTCCCATCTTACGACATCACAATTAGCTGACCCCTCCATCTCTGACTACCCCCTCCTGGGCTCTGCCCTCATAGTTTTCCTCTTGACACGTTATAAATATTACTACTCCTTGAATTTATGTCCACCTGCTTCTAACATCACATAAATTTATCTATCACTTCTACACTGATGATCCAGATCTACACAGGAACTAGCTTCTCCCCACTGCCTTCAGCCTAGTACCACACATCCAGCTTTCTGATGAGGAAACCCAATTTTACTTCCACTCCATTAGAGAGAACCATTTGTGTGGCCCTTTGCAGCCCCTTCTCAGCTACATCTCTTCATCCTGAAAGAGGAGGCACATATTTTGTTGGTCCTTCATAAGTACCTGAGAACTTGCATCACCTGTAAAATAAGGCAAACCCTCCTGAATGTGGCATTCAAGACCCTCAGAAAATGACCCGAGCTTATCTTTCCAGCCTCAGCTCCATTCTCTCTACCTTCCAATCTAGTCAGGGCAGACAGTCTGTTCCTTCTCAGTTATTTCCAGGCCTTTGCTCATATTCTCCATGTTTAGAAAAGTTTTCCCTGCTAGTCTATTTTCAACTCATCTTCCTAATTAAAAAAAAGAAAAGAAAAGAGGGTGCCTGGGTGGCTCAGTTGGTTAAGCGACTGCCTTCGGCTCAGGTCATGATCCTGGAGTCCCGGGATCGAGTCCCGCATCGGGCTCCCTGCTCGGCGGGGAGTCTGCTTCTCCCTCTGACCCTCCCCCCACTCATGTGCTCTCTCTCATTCTCCCTCTCAAATAAATAAATAAAATCTTTAAAAAAAAAAAAAAGAAAGAAAAAAAATCTTCCCTTTAGCTTTCACCGAGCCTTAGCCAGGCAGAATGCCACCATATGCAGTGTTCCCTTTGTACTGAGTAAATCCCACCATTACAGCGTTTATTCTGCATCATGCTCATTTGTTTGTCCATCTGCCTTCCCCACTGTTCCGTGAGTCATCGCAGGACCGTGGCTCCCATCCCTGAAGCCTCTTGAACCTGCCACTGTCATTAACATGGTGACTCATGAGTATTCCTGAAAGGAACCAAACCTCCAGGGAGGAAGTATGAACAATCCACATAAAACTGGGAGAACGACATGGCTTTGCTATGAAATGCAACACAGTAGCCACACGCAGAATCAGCATAGTATTCATCCTCTTCAGGATTTAGGACTTCTGAACATTAAAAGGCCCAGGAGGTGTCACAGAGAACAGCATCAATCAAGGCTGGAACCTACACCCTGAAATTCCTGACAGATAGCCTGGCCAACTATAATTGTAAAAGCTCTCATCTTCAGTTTCACTTCAGGAAATTAAAAACTGACCAACACAGTCTGTGAAATAGAGCTCCTGATACTTGTGTCAGAAGGTGCCATATTTGAAACTAGTCTCTGATGTCATAAGAGAGGGAGAAAAACCATGAGAGACTCTCAACTCTAGGAAACAAACTGAGGGTTGCTGGAGAGGAGGTGGGTGGGGGAATGGGGTAACTGGGGGGATGGCATTAAGGAGGTCACGTGATGTGATGAGCACTGGGTGTTATACACAACTGATAATTTATTGAACACTACACCTGAAACTAATGATGTACTATCAGTTGGCTAATTGAATTTAAATTAAAAAAAAAAAGAAAGAAACTAGTCTCTAAGAAAACTGGATTTCTGGAACTGCAGAACTTTCTCAAGAAGTGGAAGCCAGGGGATGGCTCATTTGTTTGAGGGAAAGTCCTTCTGGTTCCTCAGATGTAGACTGAGTACCTGCCCATTGTTCCAAGGGAAAACTATGAGGTAACCTGATGCAAAACCAGATTACAAATGATTGAGTTTGAATTGTGTCTTTGTTGATTTCTCACTGGAGGGCAAGGAGAAGGAAGAGAGGAAAGAAATTATTGATTTGGTGTGAATTTTAGAAAGAGCTACTGCTTATTGAGAACATATGTCAATCTTTCCCAATAAAACACTGGATGCTCTAATTTGAGACCTGGAACTTCAGGAAAATCGTGAAGACGTGGATCTTCCCCTAATGCTGGAGTCTGGGCTATAAAAGGAAATAAATTTGGCTTGGCAAGATGAAAGCTGCGTAAGACTGTTAACACGTACCCTGGTGTTATTTGCATGAACTGTCCTGAACCGTGGAGAACATCCTGGTGTTGAACTCTCCTCTTCCAGAGTGATTATCTTCGGAGCCCCCACAGTGAGAACTGAGCAGTTTGTTAGGATGAGTATATTCCCAGCATCCATTTCCCTGGGAAGAGGTGGATATGGGAACACAGAATGAAGATTTCAGAGATGAAGTTTAGAATGGGGTGAAGGGGAACACCGTCTTCTCTTTAACCTTGTAGTGGATGGACTTTGAATGTGTAGATATAATGGCAGGGGAGTGACTCCCTCTAAAAATACATCTCATAACCATTGTAAACTATTCTTGGTGTTGTATTTCTCTTCTTTTACCCATAGACATTCAGTAGAACTTTACCAATGCAGCCTGATTTCAACTGTGCTATGGGCTCTAAATGGAAGGGCTTGATTTATGTTGGAGACAGAGGGGCAAAGGGGTTCAGTAACGCCCCTTTCTCAGGCCAGAGTAATGGCCCTTTAGCCTTCACCAAAGAGGGCACTCCCCATGAGGGCCACTACGAGAGAGTGGATCATGAGAGAGTGGATCCCAAATCCACAGACGTCCCCAAAATACCCAGGAGATTATTTAAGGGGGGCAAGCACCTTCAGGGGGAAGTCGTGTCCCTCTAAAAGAAAATGTGGCTTCAATTTGAACCTGGGAGCTGATAACGGCTGGACACCAGGTTACCATTTCAAAGTAGTTTTTTATGAAGATGCTTCCTTGTACTTTTCCACTCATTAAGGCGAGCTCCAGCTACCAGGTTGTAGAAGAGCATAATCATAATTTCTTAGTTCCAAGTTCTCCTGGTTGTGAAACAGATACATTCTTATTCTCAGGAGGCGAATCTAGGCAGCGTGCTATATACTGAACAAGTGCCAACTGCAGAGACTACGACTCTTCTGTTGGCTCTCCCTAATCTTGCCCACTTATGAATTAAAGGGAAGAACCATGTGTGTGTATGTGCACACGCACACACGGATTCTGCATATGCACGCACTTGAGCGTGTGCACTACGGTCTATATTGAGAGGTATGGGAGGAAAAAGCGTACAATGTTAGAGAACTGTAACCTTTTTGGGGAGTTTCACATAACCGGTGAATTATTACTTCTTTCAAATTTGTAAAGCCTTAAGTTTAATTGACAAAAATTAATGAACAATGGAAGAGCAGCATAAACACTTGGAATTATTACCCAGAACATCTTGCACTTATCAATTCATGCAGGATGACCGCTCTCTTGGAACAACTCGTTAAAGTGGAGAACTGGACTTTCGGCCCGTAATTCTTTCTGGAAGACCAGTCCTAGATGTCACTGACTAATTGGGCTAATTGGAAGAGGAAAAACTGCACAAAATGTTCCTTTAACATATACATTAATTTGCTTTTACTTTCAGCTGAGTCCTCCGTATCTAATTATGTTGATTTGTAGTTCTGAACAAATGAAAAATTCTAAGGGAAAAACATTTATAAAGGGTAATTCTAAAGGGAAAATAAAGATAAAGCAGAAGAGCAAGGAGGTCAAAAGGGCTATAAAATCTAACATATTATTCTTTTGACAACCTGTTTTAAGATACTCCAATCACTTAAAACTCACTAAAAATATCATCTTGAACACTCTCGGGAACTGAGAACTGCGTGTCCCAAATAATTGTCAACATGACATAGAGCTTTTGCTTTGCTGTAAGGCAGTTCCCAACTGACAAATGAGTTGTGCTCAAAAAGTTCTTTTGAAGTTAATTGTTCAGAACTCAGGCCATCTCACAGAAGAAAATCAACCCTAAATGCTTCTTGTTTTAGTTCCTCGGGCTACCGCACAGAGTCCCGCAGACCGGCTCGGGGGGCTTCAATGCAGAAATGTATTGTCTCCCAGGTCTGGCAGCTAGAGGTCCAAGATCAAGGTGTTGCCAAGGGGGCTCCACTGAGGGCTGTGAGGGAGAGTCTGCTCTGTGCCTCTCTCCTCGTGTCTGGGGGTTTGCTGGTGATCTTTGGCATTTCCTCTCTGCCTTCATCTTCACATGGTGTTCTCCCCGGGTGTGTATCTATCTATGTGTCCATATGTGGCAGAATAACTTCTCTCATTTTAAGTCCCCGAGTTTGTGGTAACTTGTCATGGCAGCCCCAGAAAACTAATACAGGGAGGTTCTTTGACTAAAGATTAAATAAGCCCAAACGAATCTAAAGACAAGGCCATTCTCTTAATTTTTTTCCCAGAGACAGATAAATCACAAATTAACACCATCCTTCTGCAGTCTCTTACCCTAAAATTAACATACTTCCAATGAAATAATATTACATTACGTAGAGAATTTGTGGAACATTTTTTTCAATAACTAAAAAAAATGTGCTCCATGGAGGAGCGATTTTACCTATAGAATAAATTATGTTCCTAACGTTTTATATACAGGCAAAACACCATGAAACCATACAAGGACTTAGGCAGGAGATGCGCCAGCTGGTGGACCCCCAGCTAAGGCCCCACCACTCCCAAAGCACAAAGCACCCTCTGGCATACAACCCGCCTCTCTGAGGGTGAAACAGGGTCCAATGGAGCTGAGAAGCCGGAGAAACACCAGCCACCGACAGAACTGAACACAGAGAGAGTGGTGTGACCACCACAGTGAAAAGGAGGAGGACCCAGTGAGCCTTCGGAGAGGCAAAGGTGGCTTCCCTCAGTGAGCCAACAGGCGAGAGGGGAGGAGCAGAGGAAACCAAACCTTCCACCTGCACGGAAGCCACACTGCCATTGTGTAGCTCGTCTGGAGACAGTCCTTGCCCAAACCCTCTCCACACTCACCAGTCAGGGACACCTGAAGCTCAAGGCCCCCCAGAGAATGGGACGTAAGGGACTGTGCAGGTTCTGGGTTAATCACAGGACTCATTCAGGAAAAAATGAACTTGCCTCCAGAGGACATTCGAGAGTAGCCCCAAGTCATCATGATAAAATGATGAAAACCTGAGTTTAAATAACCATACACAAGTGGAAGGACCACCTCCAAGCATAGGTCTCTGTATTCCATGGTGAGGGAATCATCCCTTCTATGCACTTTAGAGACACAGGGAAGAAAGGCAGAGTTTTTGGAAAAATCTATTACCAAAGACTATTCTTAAATGCAAGTCACCTAAGCTGAGACTGTACTACTCTGCAGTTAGTCACTGGGGCCTTACAGAGGGAGCAAATGGTAGACCAGGTGGCCACGGAGCATGGAGGAGGGTCAGCAGATCCTGAGAGAAGCCCCCCAGGCCAAAGAGGGCCAGAAGAGGAGCTCCTCCCAAAACATGGAGCCATGAACTCACTGCCTGAGAAGGAACAAAACTGGAAGCCCATCCCACTGCATTGTTTGTGTGTCTCAATAAATACATGAGCGACACATACATCATACATAACATAGTATGAATGGTAGAGCTGTATTATTAATATTGAAATGTATTGTGTTTTGTGTATTAATATAACATGTAACATATTAATATATTACATATTGCATATATAAGTAATTTAATAACATATTACACATATATATGTATTGCATACCTATTAATAATTTACATGTATTGCATGCTATACTATGCTATCTCATAATTTATATATATGTATATCCATATGTCTATCCATCTCTGTCTATCTGTCTCACTCCAGAATGCAGACCTAGTTGCTCTCAACACATCCTTTCGTCCACCTGAAGTGTTATATGGGAGGCCCTATTCAGCTACTGTAGAGAGGGGTCCTGAGTGTGCCTGTCAGACACTGTTGTGAGGCTTACGTCAGCCTGCATGTGTGACGTGACTCACTGCTTGGTACCCGGAAATGGGAAAGAACCTCATGGTTTCGGTGCCATTTCGGAGTTGGAAGCATCTATGTTCCCTTCAGCAATTGTCCAAAGAAGTCAAGTAGCGGTCAGGAGGGTGCTGCTCACTCTGCTCACTCTCCAGATGGGTTTCTCCAACGCTTCATCACACTTGACTTTTCTTTCTTGCTCCAGTTCAGACAAGCCCTGGGGCATAAGAGGAGACAGGGATGCCTCCTCATTGCCCCACTAGGACTTTGCCTTCTCCATTTCCTCGGGGCAGTGTGGCCCACACAGGATAGGGGGCGCCATGGTGCGGATAGTCAGAGCAATAGACTGCTGCTTGCCTTCACCCCAGGAACACCTGACTGCCTTCTGCTCCCTCTGCTGGCCCGCCAGCCTGCATGACCAGACGTGGTACACTCCACCACAACTACTGGGTCTACACTGATCTCCAGTGAAAGGAAGAACAAGATCAAAGACCGCTGTGCCCACACAAACCACTTCATGTCTAGGTCAACACTCAAAGTGAAGAATTAAAAATATACACATTTCAAGAGAATGATTTCTTCCTCTCCATCTCTTCCACAGAGCTCAAATAGTTGTTTTTCTTGCATAAAATTTTTCCTAGTAATTAAAAATGATGGCGTTGTATGTAAATGGCCTAAAATTTCAGTGATCGAGGGTGTATTTATGTCTCTTGTTTAGAAATGTGATCAGTTTCCTGGCACTGAAGGAACTCAATTTACTAAAACCAGCAGAAAGCACTTATATGATAAACCTACTGTACCATTTTTCCTGGGAAACATTTGCAATCTACTCCATCAGAAATGGAGGTTTTCTATTAAAAATATATCAACACCCTCATAAAGGCCATTTTCCCCTTGCAATTTATTCTGAGTAATAACATCCAAGCCACAAATTTGTTGACAATCAGTTTTTGCTTCTCCGTGCAATTCGGTTGAAGAGTATCTGTTTCTTAGTAACAGAATGGCGCCAATACAACACACCATTCAATTACCAGGTGCAGTGACACTGGCCACCCCCCAGTGCTTCCGGTTTCATGGTGACATATCTATAGAGCACCACTGGCCCCAAACCGTGAGCCTCGCAAGGGCTTGCTGCTCTACTCCAAATGGGTTTAATGGACTCCAAACATGAGTAATGTAAGTACTGAACCTCAACTATGTCATGAAAAATGTCTCCTGGGCATAGATGTGTGAAAGAGTCACTTAGATGTTGATGAGGGGCACCCTCTTGATCACGTTTTTCACCACAGAAAATATTGGCAGGCATAAAACCAGTGAGTCTAGCAGCTTGAGTAAAGAAACCCAATGATAGGGATACTTGAGACTGCCTCCCGCTTCATTCTGAAAGGTTGCTGGGATGGACTGTTGTAATTATAGCTTTTATTTCCCCCCCCACTTTCCCTTCCCCCCAATTTCTTCCAGTAACAGAACCCCTTGTGGGAAACTCTTTCCAATCAATGCATTTAAGACTCATGACCCAGGCTTGGTCCATCTAAGAAACACAAGCCCCTGACCACAGTGATTAATTACTTCAGGGACAGACAGCCACTTAGGTCACCTCCCCCAACAGGGACTTTGCTGGAAGCATCAGAAAGGAGACACTCTCTGTGCATTCCCAGCTTCATCGCTGGGAAGACGTGAGCCCAGGTGTGCTGGCAGCCACCTCTGACAACACATGGAGAACCTACCTGAGAAGGAAGAAATTTGACGAAGCAGATTCAAAAGCTAGAGAGGCAGCATCCTGATGTCACTGCATGTGCCCCTCAAACCTAGGCACCTGGATGTAGGAAACAAATGTCAATTTGAGTTGCATTTCTGTCACTTGTAGCACAAAATATCCTCACACGGACCCTGAGTTAAAAATCATAACCTGTATCTAGGCTAAAACAAAACTCCTGTTTCTGTTACCCACCACATCTCTGACACTTAATATGCAGGTTTTACATACCAAGAAAGGCTGATACTAACTACCTGGCATTAGCACAGACCCCACAGATAAGGGTTGAGTCCCACAAGACTGCCCCCACTTCAGACACTGACCGAAAAGTCTTGGCCTCTGGTATTTATGACCAACTGAACAGCCATAAATGAAGGGTTCTCATGAACCCCTTCTCGGGTTCAATAATTTGCTAGGAACAGCTGACAGAACTCAGGAGTGTTTTACTTACTATTGGGGGCTTTATTATAAAGGATACAGATGGAAGAGACGCAAAAGGCGATGTATAAGGGGGAAGCAGGGAGAGAGATTTCCATGCCCTCTCTGGGCACACCACCCTCCCAGCACTTCGATGTGCTCACCAACCCAGAAGCTTTCTGAGCCCTGTTGGTTAGGGTTTTTGTGGAGGTTCCATTATGTAAGTATGGTTGATTAAGTCATTAGCCATTGGTAATTAGCTTAATCTCCAGCCCCTCTTCACTCCCTGGAGGTTGACTTCTCTGGCAACCAGCCCCCTCCTCCACAGTCACCTAATTAGCATGAACTCAAATATCATTGAAAGAGCTTTATGATGAATAACAGAAGATGCTCCTCTCACTTCTACAGGGAAATTCCAGGGGTCTTAGGAGGTCTGTGCCAAGAACTAGGGACAAAGACCAAGTACATATTTCTTATGTCACAATATCACATGGGCAAATCTTGTTTTATTTTTAAAGATGATACATGTTGGAGCTTGGGTTGTTGGCTAAACCTTAACGCATGTAAGTAAGTGAAAACAAAGATTTGACTTTTTTCATTTTTTGTTTTTGATTTTCATTTTATCTTGTTTCATTGGTGTCTAGGAATGTTACAATATACTAGGACAAGCAACAAGTGGACATAAATTGTCTCAAAAGGCATTTCTTTAACCAAGTTCTAAGGAGGCAAGAGTTCCCAGGGATGGTGTTGGTGAACAGGATATGCGCTCTGTGTTTGGACATTTGCGTCCTTAGCCACACAATGGCCCTCTCTGCCACTGTTGTCCAAGGGCCTGAAATCTGAGGAGAATCAAGGAGGTGTTGGCTCATCATCAGAATCTGACCTTCTCAGATAAGGAAAGATGACCACCAGCTGTAGCAGAAGAGCAGTTCCTGGCATGTGAACCATGGCTCAGGGGCTATCTGGAGTCTGGTGTCTCACAACACTGCTATTAATAAGATAATTGCTACATTTCCCTCTCTGACATGAATAGTTTATTTGTGGCCACTCTCCCTGAAATCTCCTAACAAGTACAACTACTCTTTCCTTTTGTTTTAAGAAAGTTAGTTGGGGGTTCTGGGGGACAGGGGTTTCGGCAAAAAATAAACTAAGAGAAATCAAATATAGAGGCATATGTCAATTCAACAAATGTGGATTCGATGTCTCTTTCAAGAAAAACACTATGCTGGGGGAGGATGCAAGGGAGGAAGAGACACAGAGTGAGAAGTTCAGTGGGATGTAAAGGAAAGAGATTAAGCATGAGAGAGAAGACAAACACACATCTAAAAAGTAAGTCAGCAAAAATATGCCATAAGAAAAACAAAAGACAGCTAAAATACAGGTAAGGTAATATTTAAGAAGGGGAAGATAGGGATTTTTCAGATGCATTTAGTTACGCATTTCCCAAAGTTTGTCCTATAAAACACTAGTCCAATTAGATGCACCTTGAAGAAAGGGTTCTGTGGTCCGATATATTTTGGAGGAATGATGATTTCCATTCTGCCACTATTATAGCACATTAGAAATCCATAATATATTCTAGTTTATTAGTCTCTGGCTACTCCTACTGCAAAGAAACCTATTTAACTTTAACACAATATTTCCCAAAGTTATCTGACTATGGAAAACTTCTGTTTTCCATGGAAAATACTCTAAAACATGCTAAGGTATATCACCTAAGAAAAGATTCGTGATTTCATTGGGCAAACCCAGACATTCCAAAAGACTGGGTTTCTTTGAAATCCTGCAGATTGTTACCTCAATTGTTGGCTACAAATTATTTAGTAAACCAGCTTTGTTCCACCAGAAAATGAATGAATGAATGAATGAATGAATGAATGAATGAATGAATGAATAAGTATCATGAACTTTCCAAAGAGATGATACATATCCTTCTAAAATTTCAGATGCGTTTAAAATTTAGCAGGGGCCCTAAATAGCGAAGAATGCATACCTTCAAATTTTTGTTTAAAAAAAAGGATAAAACACACATATGTATCTATATATATATTTCATATGCATATATTTGCATATAAATATCCATGTATATTCCATCTGTCATGTGTAACAGACGTGCACACACATACATACATGGATTTATGTATATATCCCCTTTATGTGCTCACTGTGATCATTCATAAGCAGTTTCAAATTTATGTGGTTTTAAAAATCTATTATCAAGATATGCCTTAACCCACTGTTCTTACTGTGAATGGCTAAGCCCTCATTTCAAAGAGGAGAAAGGCAGGTGGAAAGGGAGAGAGGGAAGCGTTAAATGAAAGATTGGGGGTCACCAGGAACCTTGCCTGTGTTGGTTCTGAGAACCAAAGGAAGGCCAAACATTGACATGATTCAGAAACCTGTGAGTATTTATCACTGGACAATTGTACATCTGTCTGATGATGCTGTTCTCACCTCTGAACCATCTCTGATTCCACGACCCTGCTTGGAAACCCCCTGAGTGTTGGCACTTATTTAGGCTTTCCCAAAAGTATTGCCTCCATAAAGACCTCTTGCTCATCCTATCACCCGGACAGGGGGTTACTCAGAATAGCCAAGTACAGATGCTGGCCTTCCTGGGATCTTCAGACAACAAACTGATACTTTGGAGCCTGGGAAGGAGTGGGAGTCCTAATGCTCGCTCCTTCTTACCTGTAGATTAAAAGCAGAGGGGGAAATGGCCACAGTGAGGATCGAGGGATCAGGTCCTCACCTAAAACAGGATTGGAGAACAGTTTGAGCTGAGGCTCCAGTGAAGCTTCTCCCTCCCGTGCTAAACCTTGAGACTTACTCAGGGAAGTGCAGGACCACAGGCCTATCTCAGACCCTCATTACTATACAGAGAAAGTGTGAGAATGAGAGAGAAGGCACCTCCTCCTAGGGAAACCTGAAAAAGTGGGAAACAGGAAGTAGGAGAGCCGGTACCAGCCACGGCCCCAGAGCCAGAGAACTTTCCAGATACAAGCAAAGTCCTTGAACTTTGCCCTCCCCCACTCAAATGGCACAAGCATGGACAGTGGCTATCCAGTTCCCATCCTAGGCGATGCCGCTTCCCCAGGAGCCCATCAGCAGGGAGAGGGGATCCAGACTACTTCCACAAACACCCACCCTTTGTGGGGAGCTCTCCGGAAACCCAAACAAGGGGAAAAAGCTCTCGTCATCAGCATTCATACATACATCAGCAGCACAAATGCATTAAACCTGTACCTACAGAATTTTATATTCAAAAGGACATAGCTCTACCTAACTGGCAGGAAAACGATTCAGTACTTTCATGTGGAGATGATCATCTCTAGATGGATGGATTGGGTTACTTCTTAAGAATTCTGTTTCCCCGAGCCTTGCATTGAATTTCAGCTACAGTAAGTATTGGAAGATGGGTTTTTACCATAAGCAACCATAGGGCAGGGTCTCGGCTTTGTAGAACACACAACAGCATTTGCATACTACATCTAGCAAAGTGTTTTTGTAAGGTCAAGACATTTTGTGGAGTCTCTCTATGATGCAATCCGATCTCTGACTTCCTGTGAGCCCTTACATTTTGTCCCTTTTCAGTTAGCAGGTGTTCTTTGCTTTCTTGGTCGCTTCAAGTCACATGTTTGAGATCATTCTTCTCCCTGAAAATAATCAAGCTTCATTTCTGGGTTCCATGGGATTCAAACAGAGTATCTGAAATACATGACAGATAGGAGTTAACGTTCTCTGGATGATTTTAAAGGAAGACTTAATGAATAATAATCAACTGGAACTCATACTTGATTGATCGATGGAGGTGATAAGCAGGAACAAAGCCAGAGCACAGCCCAGAAGCCCATGGCAGGAAGAAACCTAAAACTATTGACAAAACAGATAGGAAATGTAAAACATTTTCAATCGATACCAAATTTGGCAGATGAATAAACGTCTGACTAATGCATCTTATCAGTTGTAAATCAGCTTTGAACTGCCATAAAATGTCATAAGACCATCTGAGAGGAAATTGGGGGGGCAAGCCTAAATCCCCCCCAAAAAAATCATCATATTTTATGGCATTTGTACTGGAATTATTTCTAGAATAATGCAATTTCACAGTACGATTCAAACTAGGTTTTAGTCTATTGGTTTAACTGCACCATAGCTAAAATTTAGACGTTTTTATAGTGCTCAATCCCACATAATGGTGGTTAGAAAACTTAGAGAAAATTCAATTATAGTACAGGAGACTTTTGTTCCATTTTTCTTCCCTTCGCAATGAACCTCAATGGGAGACCAACTACATAAATAGTAGTTTCCAAATTTCCAACCCAATGTATAGAAAAACGGAGTGGTTTACTAATCCAAGAAGCAGTATCGAGGGATGCAGAGATTATTCAAGGCAGCATAAGAACATCACAAAAAAATTTAATTCTCTAACAGAGGAACACTTGCTCAGGTTAAAATATATCCTGATCCTGGCATAGTTTTAAATACATCACATGATGAAATAATTATACACATTCCTATAAATACAGGTGGCATCAGAAAGAATCCAGAAAACACCCAGGCACGCTGAGGGCTGGAGGTCTCACCTTTTAGCTTGAAGAAACTATTCTAGGGAAGGAGCACTGGGTCCCCAGGGTACTGGCACATCTGGACCCCAAGGACAGCTATGCACCTGGCAGCTAAGGGGCACCTGCGGCCCTATAGATGGGCAACTGGCTGCTCAGTGTTTTGCTTTCTCGGAACAATAGAAAGGGATTACAGGATTATTGAGAGTTCAGTTTTAGAGATCTAATCCAAATGTCTCAGTTTGGTCCAAGAAAATGAGATCTGAAGAAATTAAATGGCTTCAGAGGGGGGAAAGATGGCGGAGGAGTAGGGGACCCTATTTCAACTGGTCCCCGGAGTTGAGCTGGATATCTACCAGACCACTCTGAGCACCCACGAAACCAGCCTGAGATGTAAGAAGATCTGGATCTCTACAAACAGAATATCGCAGGCGGTTGGTTTCCAGGTACAAAGCAGGGAGCCGTGATTCTGCGGGCAGATATCGGAGGATAAACGGCAGCAGGAGGGTGCCTGGCCGTGGGGATCCTACACCGCCGGTGAGTGACAGCCTCATGCGCTGGGGACGGGGCACAGACTCGCAGACCGGTAGCGGTAGCGGCAGGGAAAGGACTTTAGGGCAGCCCCCAGGTTGGAAACCTGGAGCAGCAGGGTCGCACACGTCCGAACTGGGAGCGGCTGGCGGTTTTAGAAGCACAAAGGGCAGAGACGCGCCCCGACCTGGAGGCAGGACTGGGAGCGCTGCAGAGGGGCGCACAACCCAGGCCGCTGCAGTTTATAGCAGCATGGACAGAAATGGAGACGGTGTGGCCTGCAGAGCTCACTGAAGAACACACTGCGGTCTCTGCTCTGAGGCAGAGGGTTGGAAATGGTCTCTTCTGCTCTGACTCGCGGAAGAGACGCGGATAGCCGCCAGGGAAAGGCGCCAGAGAACAAAAGCCCCAAAGACTGATTCCCACTGAGCCCATACCCCCGCCATAGGGGTGCAGGGCAACTCTGCCCAAACAGGGTTGCCTGAGTAACAGCGCGGCAGGCCCCTCCCGCAGAAGACAGGCTGGGAAAACAAGAGGCCAGCAACCCTAAGGTCCCTATAAAACAGGTGCATCTTGCTTGGGTTCTGGTCAATAATTTGGACTCTACACATTCCCTCAAACACCCATCAACAGAATGACTAGGAGGAGGAGCCCCCAAAACAGAAAAGACTCAGAGATTATGACTTATGCTGCAGATTTACAAATGGATGCAGATATAACCAAGATGTCGGAGATGGAATTCAGGCTAGCAATTGTGAAGACAATGGCTAGAATGGAGAAATCAATTAATGGCAACATAGAGTCTCTAAGGGCAGAAATAAAAGGTGAATTGGCAGAACTTAAAAATGCTATCAATGAGATCCAATCCAATCTAGATAATCTAACAGCTAGGGTAAGTGAGGCAGAAGAATGAATAAGCAATCTGGAAGACAATATAATAGATAAAAAGGGAAAAGAGGAGGCCAGGGAAAAACAACTCAGAATCCATGAAAATAGAATCAGAGAAATAAGTGACACCATGAGGCGTTCCAATGTCAGAATAATTGGAATCCCGGAGGGAGTGGAGAGAGAGAGAGGACTAGAAGATGTATTTGAGCAAATTGTAGCTGAGAACTTCCCTAATCTGGGGAATGAAACAAACATTCACGTCCTAGAGGCAGAGAGGACCCCTCCCAAGATCAAGGAAAACAGGCCAACACCCCGGCATGTAATAGTAAAACTTGCAAATCTTAGAACCAAGGAAACCATCTTAAGGGCAGTTAGGGGGAAGAGATTCCTTACGTAGAGAGGGAGGAATATCAGAATAATGTCAGACCTATCCACAGAGACCTGGCAAGCCAGAAAGGCCTGGTAAGACATATTCAGGGTACTAAATGAGAAGAACATGCAGTCAAGAATACTTTATCCGGCAAGGTTTTCATTTAGAATGGATGGAGAGATGCAGAGCTTCCACGACCGGCAGAAACTGAAAGAATATGTGACCACTAAGCCGGCCCTGCAAGAAATATTAAGGGGGGTTCTATAGAAGGAGAAAGACCCCAAGAGTGATATACAACAGAAATTTACAGGGACAATCTATAAAAACAACGTCTTCACAGGCAACATGATGACAATTAATTCATATCTTTCAATAATCACTCTCAACAGGAATGGCTAAATGCTCCCATAAAACGGCACAGGGTTGCAGATTGGATAAAAAGACAGGACCCATCCATATGCTGTCTACAAGAGACTCATTTTGAATCTAAAGATACATCCAGACTGAAAGTGAAGGGATGGAGATCTATCTTCCATGCCAGCGGACCTCAAAAGAAAGCTGGGGTAGCAATTCTTATATCAGACAAATTAGATTTTAAACTTAAGTCTGTAATAAGAGACACAGAAGGACACTATATCATTCTTAAAGGGTCTATCCAACAAGATCTAACAATTGTAAATATCTATGCCCCCAACATGGGAGCAGCCATCTACATAAGCCAACTGGTAACCGAAATAAAGAGTCATATTGATAACAATACGTTAATTGTAGGAGACCTCAATACTCCACTTTCAGCAATGGACAGATCATCTAAGCAGAAAATCAACAAGGAAACAAGAGCTTTGAATGATACATTGGACCAGATGGACCTCATAGATATTTACAGAACATTCCACCTAAAACAACAGAATACTCATTCTTCTTGAGCACACATGGAACTTTCTCCAGAATAGCCCATATATTGGGTCACAAATCAGGTCTCAACCGATACCAAAAGATTGAGATTATTCCCTGCATATTCTCAGACCACAATGCTCTAAAACTGGAACTCAATCACAAGAAAAAAATTGGCAGAAATTCAAACACTTGGAAGCTAAAGACCACTCTGCTCAAGAATGTTTGGGTCAACCAGGAAATCAAGAAGAACTTAAACAATTCATGGAAATCAATGAGAACGAAAACACATCGGTCCAAACCCTATGGGATACTGCAAAGGCAGTCCTAAGGGGGAAATACATAGCCATCCAAGCCTCACTCAAAAAAAATAGAAAAATCCCAAATTCACCAACTAACTCTACACCTTAAAGAACTAGAGAAAAAGCAACATATGACGCCTAAGCCATGCACTAGAAGAGAAATAATTAAAATTAAAGCAGAAATCAATGAATTAGAAACCAGAAACACAGTAGATCAGATCAATGAAACTAAAAGTTGGTTCTCTGAAAGAATTAATAAGATCGATAAACCACTGGCCAGACTTATCCAAAAGAAAAGAGAAAGGACCCAAATTAATAAAAGTATGAATGAAAGGGGAGAGATCACAACTAACACCAAGGAAATAGAAACAATTACTAGAAATTATTATCAACAACTATATGCCAATAAACTGAGCAATCTGGATGAAATGGAGGCCTTCCCGGAAACCTATAAGCTGCCAAGACTGAAACAGGAAGAAATTGACAATCTGAATAGGCCAATAACCAGTAACGAGATTGAAGCAGTGATCAAAAACCTCCCAAAAAACAAGAGTCCAGGGCCTGATGGATTCCCTGGGGAATTCTACCAAACATTCAAAGAAGAAATAATACCTATTCTCCTGAAGCTGTTTCAAAAAATAGAAACAGAAGGAAAGCTTCCAGACTCATTCTATGAGTCCAGCATTACCTTAATCCCCAAACCAGGCAAAGACCCCAACAAAAAGGAGAATTTCAGACCAATATCCCTGATGAATACAGATTCCAAAATCCTCAACAAAATCCTAGCTAACAGGATCCAACAATACATTAAAAGGATCATCCACCACGACCAAGTGGGATTTATCCCCAGGATGCAAGGGTGGTTCAACATTCGCAAATCAATCAGTGTGATAGAACACATTAATAAGAGGAGGGAGAAGAACCATATGGTCCTCTCAATTGATGCAGAAAAAGCATTTGACAAAATGCAACATCCTTTCCTGATTAAAACTCTTCAGAGTGTAGGGATAGAGGGAACATTGCTCAAGTTCATAAAATCCATCTATGAAAAACCCACAACGAATATCATCCTCAATGGGGAAAAGCTGAGAGCCTTTCCCTTAAGATCAGGAACACGTCAAGGATGCCCACTCTCGCCACTATTGTTCAACATAGTACTAGAAGTCCTAGCAACAGCAATCAGACAACAAAAAGAAATAAAAAGGTATTCAAATTGGCAAAGAAGAAGTCAAACTCTCTCTTTTCGCAGATTACATGATACTTTATGTGGAAAACCCAAAAGACTCCACCCCCAAATTACTAGAACTCATACAGCAATTCAGT